ATGCATTGGTGTTTTGCTTGCATGTATGTCTGTGTGAGGGTGTCAGGTCCCTTGGAACTGAAGTTACAGATAGTTGTGAGCTGCCATGTGGTTGCTGGGAATTGAACCCAGGTCCTCTGGAAGAATAGTCACTGCTCTTAACTGCTGAGCTATCTCTCCAGCCCTGGCTTTCCCACTTTTGGTTCTTGGTTTGTGCATATGTGACAATCTTTTGGTTGTATTTCAACACATAATTTCCTGCTAAAGGAAATTTCTTGAGAAAGAAGCATGCTGTGCTAGCTAATTTTATGTGTGACCTGAGAGTTGTAAGCTGAAATAAACCCCTTTTTTCCCCGAGTTGCTTTTGGTCATGGTCTTTTATCACAGCAATAGAAACCCTAACTAAGACACATACCAAGTTTGAGAAATAGAGTGTCTAGAAGATAGAGAGCCTGGGATAGCAGAAACTGGGACCCTGACTAGTGCTGGGCTTTAGAATCTTCTTCGGAGCAGTCTTTACCTAATAGTGAGCTCAGCCTGGTACAAGAAGTCAGTGAACCAGGGCTTTAAAACTTCCCTTTCTGCTTTTCCATATGGGCCTTGAGAAGTGTGACTCAACTCCATTTTAGGTTTGGTAGGGAGGGACCTTGTGGCTTCAGAAAACGACAAGCAAGTTCTGATCCATGCTTGATCTGTAGTTCTTTAATTGACACCTTCCAAAATATTGCTGAGTCTTCCGCTCCCTGAAGTGAACCACCAGCCCTCAAACACTGGCTGTTCCCATATTTCCCATCAGTTCTAGAGCCTCACCAAGTGCTGCGTATTTGGTAAAGAAGCCTGGTGAGAAGGTGGTGTGAAGCTGGGAGATTAGAAGTGCTCTTTCACGACATCCAGGACGTTTTCCAGTCTTGATGACAAAAACCACGGATAGGGAACCATGCATAAGCGAGCCAAATCATGTGATTGTTGGCTAGCCAGGAATATAAACGTTGCTTGTGTCAAATCTTAGGAAGACTTGACAGTGTGGGTAGCTCCTTCCTTCCTTCCTTCCTTCCTTCCTTCCTTCCTTCCTTCCTTCCTTCCTTCCTTCCTTCCTTCCTTCCTTTTTTCCTGGCGAATGCTTACAAACTTCAATCAAAGTATTAGAATAGTCTATCCCTCAACAACCCGAACTTAGCTTAGTGTTTATGACTGTGGAGAAGGAAGAGCGTTCATCTGAACTGGGGGCAAAAACAGAGTCAACAGGGATGGAATTATTTATGTCTCTCAATACCCAGTTCTAGAAAACTGACAAGTCCGTGTGCTACAGTATCAGCCAGTACTGCCATTTCCTCTTTCTAAGGCTAGAGACCAGAGTGTTGAATGCAGGAAAGGAAGTTATATAGAGTCTAACAGAGACCTCCTCTGTCCACAGACCTTTGCCCAGCCTTAGGCAGATCCCACCACCAGTTTTTAGTGAAGAAATTGACCCTGCCGTAAGAAACAAATCAGAATAAAATGTTCTGGGATTCCACCCAATTGAGCCTTTAACATTTTGACATTGAATCATTTTCTTTTCCTCAATAACTTAAAATATACTTGTTACATCAGTATCAAAACAGATGGTCTGCTCTGTTTCCCTTGGATCTGAGAATCGCTTCCAATTTTTTTCATAGTGGTTATTTTCCTCAACTTCTGAGCCATCTGGATTTATAAATGAGTTTGGAGGTAGTAGCTGTAGACTGGAAGTGTTGACATATAGTAGCCTGACTTGGGGCAGAACACCTTTGGAAGAGACTCCTCTCCCCTCACCCCCTTTCCATGTAAATACATTTAGATTGAAATTATTTTCTTAAGATTTTGGTTCTTGGTTTTTATCAAATTACTATCTGCTTTTTTTCCTGTCTCTTCTCATTATAAACAGTATGTTGTAAGTGAGGCATTTCTGTGTTACTCTTAAGTTTTGTAATAATGTGTAGGGTGATTTTTTTTTTTTCATCTATTCTTTCTGCTCCACATACCACATATGTCTAGAAGGAAGCTTGTTTTGATCCTTTTAACCAGTTTTCTTTCTTGTTATTGGGAGAACCTAGCTGGGCATCCTAGTTTAAGTTGTTGTAATGTATGCTGAACTACAACATGCCTACAGAATCTTATCTACCCCTTGGCTGGATGGCCAGAGCAGCGTGAGAGCTTGTCCCACGGCTTCACTGAGGAATTGTCTCCTTTGTGGTATTTGAATGGACCAGGGCTCTCACTGGTCTGGAGCTACTATTTCTTCACTCAGCTCCTTTGTTCTTTTCTCCTAGTCATTCATCTCTTCTTCTTGTCTTTGTCATCTCTGTTTCCAGACGGTCTGGGTGACTCACAAAGAAACTCAGTTTAAAGTTCTCTCTGTTCTTGGGTGATTTCAGACATCGACATGGTTCTAAGACACAGATAGATGAATGATAGTTCTCCGCCTTTCCCCTATAGAACTTATCTCTCCTCTGCTCCAAAGGGCTAGGTGACCTAAAAATATCACACAGGATAGTAATTGTTCTTATTAAGGTGGCTAATGACATTACATATCAAGGGCACGGCCATTAATTGTAGGAAAACTTGATTTAAGAGCGCTGTGCCATGGCAACATCCCAATAAAAGTTGGAACTTTGTGACAGTCATCATGTATCAAGCACTTTCCATAAATAAATTCTTACTTAACCCTTTACAACAACACAGCAAGAGTGGAATGCACTATCCATCAGATATCTTTATATCAAAGCTGTCATTAGATGTCAAGTATTTATTCCTGGCCCCTCAGTCTTATCTTCATGTCATTATTAGAACATTGTGCTGAGTTCTTTCCAACACTTATACCTGACATTTGAAGATAATCCTAAGGAGGGACTGCTTAGCAGGTGTCCGTAAGTAAGGTACGCTTGTGAGTTAGTTAGTATAAGGAATGCTAAGCTCTTCCCATGGGTCAGCTCACCAGTTATCTCAGCTGGGTGGGATAACTGGAATCCAAGCACTTTAGTCCGGTCACATACACTCACCTCTGATCGTGTCCCATGGCAATGTCATAAAGCGCTTGCCTCTATTGCGATGCCTGATTGGTGGTTTGCATCTTTGTAGACCATTTAGTTTCATCAAAACATGTTTCTGAGGTTACAAAGAGTGTGACAACCAGTGTCTTAGTTACTTCCTGTCAATGCGACCAAACGCCATGACCAAGACAACTTACACCCGAAAGAGTTCATTTGTGCTGACGGTTTCCGAGGTTTAAGAGTCTGTCATGGCAGGGAAGTGTGGCATCGAGGGGCAGGCATGGCGGCTGGAGCAGGAGATGGAGGAGGCCCTCATCTTAAACCTCAGGCAGGAAGCAGAAAAAAGCAAACTCAAGTGGCGAAAGGCTTTAAGCTCTCAAAACCCGCCTCCAGTGACATACTGCCTCCAGCAAGGCCACACCCTAAGTCTCCCAAACAGCCACCAACTGGGGACCAAGTGTTCTAATACTAGAGACTACGGAAGACACTTACTAGTCAGACCTCCATACCCACTGACTTCGAGATTGCCCTGTCTGTCATTATTGGATTATTGAAGCACTTATGTCTTCGTGGGTGGCGTCCTTCATCACCCATGCCTGTCTTTACTATTGACTTTGCCTCATTACACACTGCTGACCAATAACTCTGAAGAGGACAATGGTGATATATATAATTGTATCAGAACCAATGATTTGGGTTCTCTTTAAACAGTAAAATATAGTATGCTTGTCTTATCACTGATGCATTGCTCACCTAAGGACAGAACCCACAAAAGAAACTGTTTTTGATCCTTGTCTGGTTAATTAACGCCATAATTCCTTTTTCAGTTATTACCGATTTTTTTTTTCTCCTTTTCCATCTTTACAGTCCAGGCATCCTGCAAATGCTCAGTTACATCAGTAGTAGAAAATTTAAGAACCCTTGGACAGCACATTTAACCTAGAGTCTTGGAAATCTTTCTAATCTCTGCACTGAAAGTTAAAATTACCTATAAATTTTGACACCACAATAATAATATTTAGCTATCCTTGTTGACTAACTTAATAAGGAGTTGGAAAACACAAAATTAAAAAAAAAAACTTAAAATTAGGAAAATTAGGAAAAAAGAAAATGGACAAAGGTACCTTGTTGATCCATCTCCATAGTCAGTGTGGGAACGGTGAGGGACAGATCTCACCTGTGGCTTTCAATTGAATACTTGTGTTCCCATGTCAGAATTTGCTTAAGCGAATTGTTCATGTCTTTAAAATGTATTTTTTCTGACTTTATCTTCTTTAGCATTGTTACTTAATTGTATACGCTTCAAACTTTCTTGACTAAGAAATGTGCCATAATTAATATTAGTATGCGTCCTTTTCACGTAATGATATAAACATGTTTCTAAATTTTATTTCTTTTTTTTTTCTTTTTTTCTTTAATTTCCCTCCTGACAGTGCTGCTATATCAATGCAGAACTTGTGCACACTAGGCAGATGCTCTCCCATGGAGCCACATCCTCTTTCCCCCTTGATTTTTCCTTTGTTCCTCTGTGTTACCACTTTCTCTAAGTCGGCTGGCTGTTTGCAAACTTGCATCCATGAAAAGATTTTCTAGCCTGAAAAGTTTGACTTTTTACTCATGCGCTCTAAGGGGGAAGCTGTGAAGACAGTGTCCCACTATCACAGGAGTGGGGAGAAAAGGAAACAGCCTTGAAAACTGGGGGCTCCTCTATCCCAAGCATTTCATAGTTTGTTGCAAACGTGCAATGGTTGTAATTTTAATCACTGGAGGCTTTTCTTTCAGCGGTACGTTGCAGACAGTCCTATTGGGGTTTTCCACCCGCTTCTGTTATCACTGCTGCTGCTACCACCTCCTAACGACTACAAGTTGGTTTCATTTTATTTAACAATCAAAACTGCACAATGAGAATGATGCATTAGTAAGAAAACGAAGTGGGGAAATGTCCTGAAGTTTGGTACATTTCTTTTGCTTAAGCAGTCTCAGTAATGAATATTTTTTCTAAATTTTTCTTAGTACCCAGTGTTCATGGAAAAAACAAGCCATTGATCACTTATGTGGGGGATTCTACTGTCCTGAAGTGTGAATGTCAAGATGGTCTTCCTTTAAACTGGACTTGGTACATGAGTAATGGAAGTGTACAGGTAAGATCATATTTGCTGGAGCTAGGAAGACAGTCCAGTTGGTCAAAGTGCTTGCCCTTTAAGTAGGAGGGACCAGAGTGTGGATCCCCTGTGCCAATGTAAGAAACAGGGCATGCCATTCAAGAGATGGAGACAGGACCATCCCATAGGCTTCCTGAGCCAGACAGGCTAGTCTTGACAGGTGAACTCCAGATTTAGATTCTGTCTCAAAAACAAAGCAGAGAATAATTGAGGAAGGCCACTTGATGTATCTCCAGCCTCCACATACATCACACATAAATGTGCTCAAACACCCACACAGACATGTATACACATGTGTATACACAAAAGATATTTTCTCTCTGATTTGAAGAAAACAAAACAAAAAAACCTTTTCATTCTTAAATAAGATTATAGCTGACTCAAAATTAATTCTCAGGGAAACTAACACTTCTGTTATAACTTATAATTACCAAGAAACCACAGTGATAAATGGTGTTGTTATTGGATGTTCTCAGCATATTACATTATATGTGTGAAGAAGCTCTCAGTATTTTTTTGGATCGTACTTTTTTCTTTTTAGGTTTTGCAGTTTATTTAAATTTGCAAATTAAATTAAATTATTGCAATTTAATTAAAATCTTTGAAAGAAAACCAAAATTCATTTTCAGGATGGGCTCGGTGGTGTGTGCCTGTAATCCCAGTAACAAGAAAACTGAGACAGGAGGACTGACATGTGTTTGAGGCAAACCTGGACCAAAGAGATGGTTCCAGGTAAAGCCAGGCTAACCAAGGCTGCATGGCAAGGCTCTGCTACAAAACAAAATTAAAAACAAAAACAGAGAGAATTTTTGCCTGGTTTAATGGCATGTGCTTATAATCCCAGACCTGTGGGAAGCTGAAGCAGGGGGATCGTTGTGTTTTCCAGGCCATGTATAGAGGTTTTGATATTATCCCAGACTACATAATGAGGCAAAACCAAAGCATTTTTAATTGACCAGGTTAGAAATAATTTCATCAGAAAATCCTCACTCACTTCTGCTTCTTGCCAGTAACTAAGAAAACAAAGAACAAAATCCCACGCTCCTTTTCTAGTTTGTCTCCTGAAGTATCTGACGTGGGATGCAATGTACTGGCACTATTTGAAAAAGATGAATGGAAATTCGGTCACTTAAACTTAGCTCTTAGTTTTTGTGGGGTGTCATTAGCACTTTGGGGTTTTTCACACATTGGAAAGAAGTGGATGTCAAGGCTTATATATCTAAGACAATTGGCTGATATGAAGATATGATATGAAGAAAACAAGAGTATTCAATGAATAAATTATCACTGGCTTCCTGTCCTTTCCCGGGTAGCTCCAAAGAGCTTAAAACTTGGGGCATGGTGCTGTGGGGTACCCTTTTCTTGCCTCAATGCTAATGAGTTTTCATATTAAAGTCCTATTGAAGAAAAGCTGTCATTCTAGATGGGACACATGAAACAGAACAAATCTTTCAATGACGTTTTAAAGAAACAAAGTTGGTGTTGCAGTGAGCTGTTGAGGAGGACGGAAGAAGGGCCTGGGAAGGAGCATGTCTACTTCTGTGATAACATTGCTTTAATGTTTCAAGAAAATAGCTCTAGATCATGCAGGGGTCAGCTTGAACAATGGGTCCTCTGCCTTTTGTCTTATAGATGATTAGGACAGTTGTCTACACATGTTGTTGAAATATAAATTGTAAAAACAAATAACAGTTGTGATGTGTGGAATATATAGCCTAATTTAAAGTTGTTTTCTGGGTTTGCTGTATGAATCATTATTCTCTTCATTTGGCTTTGATCCTGATCATAATCAGCTGTGAGACAGGGACAGAGAAGGGGTCACAGGTCAACATTTTAGGTCAAGTACCATTTCAAAATGTTAAGTCATCATCTGTATCACAATTAGCTCTGTGCTTTCTTAAAATTCAGTCCTTTGATTTATTGTATCTGATTCATATGCTGGTTTGTGTCATGAATATTCTAGGCCATTCTATGCCTGTGTACATAGAGATAGGTCAAGGTCATTCTTTTTTTCCCCTTTTGGCAAATACGTTTACAGAGAATTCTTCCTGGAATAACCTGAGAACATTTGTATGCAGATTTGCATTTATTGAGCATCTCAGTTGAGTGATAGGGCAGTGAAGGTATCCAATGTCCTGAGGATAAAATTTAATTTAGATTAAGTATGACAGCTTCGAAATATGACTTTGCGAGCCTCAAGAAAACCCAGCAGCTCCCAGAAGCCAGTCTACCTGGGAGAGAAAGGAAGAAACAGGGGTCTAGGATGAGAGAGCTGGTCATTGGAGGTCATCCGCTAAGAAGCCTTGACGATTTCAACTACAGTTGCAGTGTAGGGAACTCAGTTGTCAGATTAGTGATCTATCGTCAGGAGTGACCAGAATGATCTCTTTAGATGTGTATTGTTTCCTTTTGTACCTACCTGTCTCCACTTGTAGAGAGCAAGTCATATATGAGAAAGGAAAACCAGGGGCTGGAGAGATAGCTTCATGGTTAAGAGCACTGGCTGTTCTTCCAGAGGACCTGGGTTCAATTCCCAGCACCCACATGGCAGCTCAGAACTGTCTATAATTCCAGTTCCAGGGGATACGACACCCATAGCAAAACACCAATGTACTTGTGTACATTTAAAATAAATTAAGGAGAAAGGAAAACTAGGTGACTGGAAATCTTCTGCCTTGGGTTCTCACCTACTATTTACTAGTGATGACCTAGACATATATTTGTGGGTTCAGACATTCAGGGCTAAGTCCTCATAACTAAGTAGACTTTTTCCCTTGCTTGCTGCTGGAATACCAACCTCCTGCAATGACTCATACATTTTAATATGCCCCTTTCCAGTAAGTGGTTTCCTTGGCTCCGTCTTCTAGCTTTGCCCAGAATTAGCTCTCCTGGGACATGTATCTCTTTTTTGCATTATGTAAGGATTTTAATGTCTCCATGCATTAGGTTCCTATTGATGTTTACAAGAATGATAAGTATGTTATAAATGGATCCTATGCTAATGAAACACGACTCAAGGTAAAGCATCTCTTGGAGGAAGATGGAGGCTCCTACTGGTGCCGGGCAGTCTTCCAGTTAGGTGAGAGTGAAGAACACATTGAGCTGGTGGTACTCAGCTTCATGGTGCCCCTCAAGCCGTTTCTCGCCATCATTGCGGAAGTTATTCTCTTAGTGGCTATCATTCTGCTTTGTGAAGTGTACACACAGAAAAAAAAGAATGACCCAGGTAAGTTTTTTTACTTTTTTTATTACCTTATCGCTTAGTTATGATGTGTATTATGTATGGCTTAACACATAGTCACTTACAAGTTGTGGGGAAGGGCTGAGGAGATGGCTCACTGTGTAAAAAGCGTTTACATGGGCTGCAGAACCTGAATTCACATCTCCAGAGCCCATGTAAAAAGCCAGATGCATAACATTGGTATCTATAATCTTAGTGCTTCTGTGTTGAGGAGGGAGGTAAAGGCAGCAGACCCCTGGAAGCTTGTAAGCCCGCTAGCCTGGCTTACTCAGTGGAAAGCAGCAAGAAGATCCTATCAAGGAAGTCATCAAAGACTGACAAACACCTGAAGTCATGCTGTGACCTTCACACCTAGGTTATGGTGTGTGCACATGCATTTACACATATCAATGTGCACATACACAAATACACACACGACGTATACACACACACACACAAAATAAGTAAAAATGGTTTGTAAAGAACAATTCAATTTTTCATATTTGGGCCAATATTTATGATTGTAACCATAATGGTGATGGTCTATGAGCTTGGACTCTTAGTCTTTATTTCATCTGCCTGAAAGATGTTCATGTTAAAATTAAAATCTTTGGTTTCTTGGTGCCACTATGCACGAGCTGGGGAATGTGTGTTGACATTGGGATTTTAGGAAAAAGTTGGATTCCTTGAGATTTTTTTTCACTTAGATAATTCATTTTAATCATTTGTGTCGGGGGGGATTGCATGAATGTGTGGGTGCTCGTGTGTGCGTGTGGATTTGGAAGTCGGAGCATAAACTTGACTCAGGAATGCTGTCCACTCCTTTTTGACACATAGTCTGTCGTTGGCCTGGTGCTCACCAATTAGGCTAGAGTGGCAGCCGCTGCGCTCCGTGGATCCTCTTATTTCCCTCTCCCTGCCTGGCATTACAAGTGTACACCACCATGCCTGCCTTTTTATGTGGGTTCTGGGAACTGAGCTTCGGGCCTCATTCTTGCTGTAGCAAGCACTTCATGACTAAACTGTCTCCCCCTTCTCCATTGAAAAAGTATTTTATCAAGTATTCTAGATTCTCATAAAGTCAAGGTTGCATTAGCGTTGTTTTAAACCCATGTCTGTTGGGCTGTCGGATGAGAAACCCTTGATAGAAATCGTCACGTTGTCTTAGTTAGGGTTTCTGTTGCTGTGACAAAAACATCGAGACCAAAAAACAAGTTGGGGAGGAAAGGGTTTATTTGGCTTACACTTCCAGATCACAGTCCATCACTGGAAGAAGTCAGAACAGGAACTCAAGCAGAGCAGCATCCTGGAGGCAGGTGCTGATGCAGAGGCCTATGGAGGGGTGCTGCTTCCTGGCTTGCTTCCCCTGACTTGCTCAGCCCACCTTCTTATAGAAACCAGGACCAGCAGCTTAGAGATGGCACCACCCACCATGGACTGGGCCCTCCCCCACTGATCACTGAATGAGAAAAAGCCTTACAGCTGGATCTCATGGAGGCATTTTCTCAACTGAGGCTCCTTCCTCTCTGATGACTCTAGCTTGTGTCAAGTTGACACACAAAACCAGCCAGTACATATGTATTCTGTATTCTTTTCTGATTTTCATACTCTCTCTCTCTATATATATATATATAAAATATAAAATATATATATATATATATATATTTATATATTTACATTATGACATCATAGTTTTGAAAAAAATCCCAGGATGCCAAACAGTTCTGATGAGAAATTCAGGTAGAGTCTGGCATCCTGCTATGAGGAAGCAGAGGGAGGCAGAGCTATCAAAAGTGACACTTCTCTCCTTTCCGTGGGAAAAGTTGTTAGGGTGCAGGTTGAATGGAACATGTAAACATAGCATCACACGCTCAATTGTTATATCCTTTTTGTTTGTCTTTATACAGATGATGGGAAAGAATTTGAACAAATTGAACAGCTGTAAGTATTTTTTATTGATTTTTTTTCACTTGGGTAAAATGCACATAAATATGAAATTAAGTGAAATGTTGGCAGTTAGAAACAAGAAAAACCACAAGAACATGGTGATGTGCATGCTGTTTCTGTATTCATCTGTGTGATGATGAGGTTTGGTACCCAGTGTCTACCCCTCCATCAATAACTGTTCTGTGCTTCTGGTTTTATTGCTGAAAAATGGGTTCATCATGGTGTTCCTACACACATTTTTTTGAATTAGTAATAATTTATTTGTGTGAATGCTTGGGATAGACTTTGTTGCACAGTAAACAGATGTATTAGTTTATTTAAATGATTCTTTACCTTGGTTGTATTTTTGA